GCTATTTTGCACAATGCGGCTGGATTTATACACTCAATTTATCAAGAAGCTCCCACGCACTGATACAAGTTGCCCTGTATTTGTAACAACAGCTTAATGGGAAGTTTGAATGGAGCAGTTTTCTGTCTTTTCATTAAAATGAAAAAACCAGAAGTTTATCAATTACTAGAAAGCTATGCGAGATATCAGTTATGCTTGACGTAGAAGGCTTTTGTTTCCAGAAAAATGCCTTTGTTGTTAAACAGTTAGCAATATCAAAAGCAGAATACAGCGAACGACCCCTTTTTTTACTTCCAGTGAATTTCAGTATGCTACCAAAACTCGAGCAAAATTTTACAACTGAATAACAAATTATTAACACGGCCTCCACTGGAAAAACTGTGATTACCTTTACACAAACTTGAATCAAATACTTAAGAGTTTTGTGCTGAGAAATCATAGTGCCGTTTTGTTTTCTGCGTTCAAGGAAAAAAAGCCGATGTTTTTCTCCTAATACTTGGACCGAAAAGTTGAAAACCTAAATGATTTGGGTTGTCATTGTGTTGAAAACTTTTAATTCCCAAACTATCCAAGTTGCAACAGACACATACCTCATTACAACTCCAGGAAATAGTTTGCCCTGAAAGAAGCAGGAGTTTTTTGATTGGTTGAAAAAAAAAGAACATCTGCCAGAATTCGGTGAAAGTGGAGACAAGCCTTTCAACAAAATCAGTGCTTGGTGCTTGGATGAATCCAAAGGCTGATATTAAAGTTGCATGAACAACAATAGAGCGTAATGATTGCAGCGGCCAAATTGCTTGGAGGAGGGATCAAATAAAAACTTCCGATAAGAGTTGCCTACAATATAGAAATGTTTTCTAACTATTGATCAGTTTTATACTTCCAGATATTCAAGTTCGTTAGAAAAGTTAGTCTGCAAGCGAGGAGTCTATCTTCCCGAGCTAGTCTTAGTGCCCAAACTTTATCCAAGAGTTCGGACTGATCTAAAAAGCAGTGAATTATCAGAGGTTATGACAATTGTGAAAGAGGATACTGTGAAAAAATAATGAACTAAAACCACTGGTGTATCAGAAAAAATTATGAGACGACTGTCTATTTACAGACAAAAAGAAACCAATGTTACATTTAAGTCTGAGAGGAGCTTCAGTTTTGTGACTAGTAGGCCTTCTTATGCCAAAAGTTTGTCCTTTGTGGGTTACTTTCTTGGAGATATTGCAATTTCACAACCCATTAGCACAATTGGTATTTCTTATAGCCCAACGAATAATTTAGTGCCTACATTTGCAATAGACTCTCCGGTTGGCAGATGGACAGTAAGCCGACAAGAATAAGAAGCCCCGGCACCAAAGTCAAAACATGTGGCATCACTTTGAGCACTTTACTTTCCAAAATAACGTTGCAGACGAATTGAATCGCTAGAAAAACTGTAAAGTGTCGCCCATTGTTATGTGATTCAAGGAGTAAAAGTTAAAACATGTGTATGCGCTGAAAAATCTGACTGAGAAAATTGCAATAGCTCAGCAAACCATGTTACAAACATGCACGACATAAACTATAGAGACTTCACTTGTTATGAAATTGTGTACTATTCATAATTCTAATTCAATTTAAAATTTTTCTACAACCTTCCTTCACAGTGACAAAAAATAAAAACATTCAGTAGAATAAATTGTTTCTCAAATTCCAGATGCAGAATTTGCTTATAACAAGACAGACAGTGGAAAAAAAATCTTGGAAGTTTTATAACAATGTTACTTCGTTGCCAAGATTCGAAGTAACTTTGTTGCTCAAAGGGTATTCTCAAACCTAATGACAAAAATAAAGTCCTTGATACTTCACAAATTATATTCCCGGGTTGAAGTGCCACCGTTAATTTCATCGTTTTCTGTAGTATCCCAGTGATCGATATTTTCCAGCGCTGACTCATGTATAATTCAGATTTTGTTGCATAGATAAAATTGCGATTTTTCAGAGCTATTTCAGTATTGATTCCGCAGAAAACCATCGCTAAAACTTAAGAATTTTTAACTCATTCTAGTAGCTTTTATATGAGAGTTTTGGCTGAGAAAGGCTTTTGCTTTAGTTTCTGTAAGGATTGGTAGCGCAGAGGTAGCATACAGGTCAAGAAATCTCAAGGTTAGGGGATTGAACCTGTGATAGAGCAATAAATTTTTTTTTTATTTTGATAGGTTTTTTGTTGCTGTTCCATCGCTGGAATTAAGCCGAATTAGCAATATTTATTAATAAAATTTGCTCTTGTGGCAATGAACATCGATAATTCATCAATGGCGATCATTCGCTATTTTTTTCTTTTTTTGTCGCAAATTTTAAATGTGAGCTCAACCCGGGTATATATATATATATATATATATATATATAAGCAAATAAAATCAAAAATTCAGCATGAAACTAACTCGATAAAGACGGCGGTTGCTTCGGTCACTTCATGTTAAAACTGATGTATGAAGTTTGGTTTTTTTTGTTTCCTCGACAATTGAGGATTTTAATGCTGATTCGTATAAGAACTTGTTTTTGAAATAGCAATAAAAACTGAATAGTTTGTTTTTTGACACTAAAGTATTGAATAAAAAGATTTGAGGACATACATAAGCACAGAGGCAAAACAGAGCTTCTTAGCTTGTGTGATACTTAACAATTTCAAATCGACAATCCTGAAGACTTGAAACTTAAAAAAAAACACAAATTCCAAAAAAATGAAGAATTTTTAGAAAACATCTATGAAACTTCAAGTTATTGTCTCGATGATTACTCACTTTGACAACAATACATCCTGCACCAAAGCCATCGCGAACCATTTTTTATCTTGAACAAAGTAAGGCAAACCTGCATATATAAATTGCAAAAAAGCCATATTTTCGAAAAAAAAAAACAATTGAAAAAAAATCAAAATGATACCAACAAAGCCTTCCCAGTTTTGTCTCGAATGAAGTTCACTTTGGGGAAAATAAGTACAGTCACTCAGCGACTACCGTTGAAAATCTTTTCATGTACTTTCCCCAAGCGGCAAATGGTGCTTTGTTATCAAATATGCTTTCGATTGGTTCAACTTTATTTGTCATACTTTTTATTGACCTTGAAAAAAATTAATTTCTGATTTAATAACGCATTCTATTTCCATTCTAATAACTGAGTTGCGAAAAAAACGCCAACAAAGAAGAACCAAGTGAAAAACAAACAACGCTTACTTTGTGGAAGAAACTAACATGCGTAAAATTATTTTGTTCCTGTTTTTTACAAAGACGCTCGGAGAGCTTGGAAAGTTTCGAAATATATAATCAAAATTTAATCACAACTGCTACGAGTGGAACTATAAGGAAAAACCTTATTTAAATAAACCGACAGAGTAACGCCGACGCGTAAAAACCTTGCAAGTAACCACCAAAATAAGTAGAACGAAAATGTGTGTGTTATACATGAAACGAGTAAGCTTACAATATCCAAGTCTTGGCAATTCTGTGAACAAATTTAAAAAAAACGGTACAAAAAATTTTTAGTACCCGTATACAACACACTGTTAGTATCAAAGGCAAACAGAACAAAAAATGTGCAAACCAAACATATTGTCAAACAACAAATGTCAAAATATCTCCTACAAAGCTTAGGCTTAACTTGGTCCTGAAAATTTTTGTTGCAAGTTTAATTGAAATGAAAATTTACTTGAACACTAGTCAGGGGCAAATTTATGGATGGGCGGGGGTGGGGGCGAGTGAAAATCCTAGAGAGAACCATCATTTTACTTCAGGCAATCAAAAGAAATTTTGTTATGCGATTGGACTCTTAGATTGGATTCTCAAGTTTACCGCTCTATTAATTGCAGTTGATAATAAAGTAATGAATTGAGATTCACTGCATAAACAGTTTTCTGGATAAATAGACATTGTAGTCTGATTTTTCGCTTTGCGATGCAGAGGTTTGGTTTGTCGTCCTTGCTGTGACTTGTCTTCAGCTTTGTTATCGACCTAACTTTTTTAGACTTATTCAGAAGTGGAAATAAGCTAATGCTGTTTTCGAACTGGTTCATCATTTTGTTGACTTTTTTAGTCTAATTTGTCTAATCTATGTTTTTTATATGAATCTAAGTTAGTATAGGTCTTTTCGAGAGTAATTCTAACAGACTAATTTTGGATACGGTGCACCGTCTCTTCGTCACGCTATCTTTTTTTTCGGCCGGATAGATTCGTGCACTTATGAGTCTAATATCGATCCTAATCTTATCCTGATCCTACTCTGATTTTTCCTAGTTTCAATAGATCTGGAGTATACTGATGGTCTTGCGGGGCTAGAGGAGAGAAAGAGCAACTGTTTTCTGAGTTAAATTCATTCTTCTCTGGCTGAAACTCTAGAATATATCCTTCTTATAAGTTTTTGTAAGTTGGAGCTATATATCATGATTGATTAGTACTATTTTACAGTGCTACTTATCAAGAATTTAATTGGATATTTTAAATACTTGTTTTGAGCTGGTTTCAGAAGTTAAGCCAACTGAACTAAAAATACCAGTTACCACTCTTGCAAACACCCTTTCTAAAATCGTTAAACTGAAACAAAAAATGTGCAAATCAACAACTGTCAAAAATGTTGTAGAAAGTGGAAATTTCATTGTGTTGAAAAAATAATTTGTCAGTTGAATTGAATTGAAACATTACAAGAGTACATTTTTAGTATATACTAGCAATTTGTACATGTTTGATTCACGCACCCATATTATTTCGCGTCATCCGAATATCATTATTTTCACATATTATTTCAGATTTTTGGAATGAAACGGAGGAAAGAGTGATTGGGTTTTTCCATTTAGATAAGACGGCATAAAATGGAATTTTCCTATAATATAAGTGGTAGCCGGAGTTCATGATCGTTTTCGCTAGAAGTATTTTCACAGATCAAATTCTAAAGTTTCTTTCGAAGAATGCCTGCGACGACTATTAAAAGGAAGCAAAAACGTTTAAACAATTTTTATTGAAGTATTTATTCTCATGACAATTAATACAAACTTTATAAAGGTGTACTATCAAAATGATAACAAACAAACTCTGAGATTTGATACCGATATAGCACGGATATGTGAGCTCGTAGTTTTTGCTAGTCAAAAGGGGGATAGATATAATCATATCGTTAGTGATATTTAAAAGCGAACAAGGAATTGGCCGAATCAGGTCACAGAAAAAATTATTGTTTTATGCGACCAAAATTATCCCAATTTATGTTTGAGATATGAGTTGAGATATGAGTTGAGGATATAAAGAAACATATATATTTGGATCATTTATATTTGAAATTTAAAACTTGAGAAGCAGTGGGTGACCTCCTTTAGCTGTCGTTTCGTCGTTGAACGTCGTGACAAAAATGGTATTTTCGTCGGTAGCACAGAATGGAGTGCAAACTTTGTTCTCTGGGATTGATATATTTTTCCCTTTCTTCAACTTTTTAATATTCCCTTCCAAGACTTTCCTCAGATCTACTTCGTGGACAAGGGAAGGATTCGCATTATTCCATTCTCCCACCCACAGATGTCCATGCAGTCCATGTTCAGCATGTTCAGATGGTATCCACACTAGAGAGAACACTCTGCCCATACCATGATCGGTCACATACTTAATGTTAATTTCTTCACCTGAATCTGGTTTTGGCAGTGATACCACTGCCAGGCGTTTTGTTTCTTCTCCACAACTGAGAATGATGGTGTTCTCATTGACCAGCACACAACTACTATTATACACACTTCCTTTCACTTTAACATCGTCCAGTGGGACATGGCGCACTCTCACTCCCTCCTTGTAAATGGTCACACTGACCCACTTATTACCACTACCCTTAGTATTCCTAACTGCCAATGCAACTGTGTCCTTCCTTGCTACCAGATACCACATTATGCAAGCTCCATTCAGCAGTCCTTTTGTGTATAACACATCAATCTTCTTCAGACTCTCCTGGTCCAATTTTTCCACTCTCTTCTGACATTTTTCTTGTCTCACCACTCCATACAGAGTGTTGTTTACTTCGTCCATACAAATGTCAAGCAACATATCGTTTTTTCCCCACTTAATCTCCCATTTCGGTTCCAATGTGTCGTCCTCATTCACGCCAAATACACTAAGGATACCTGTTCCACTATCGTTATAACACATCACTTCTTTCGTATCCGAATTGTATACCGCCTTTTCACATTTAATATTCTTCATCATCGTCTCCTTCTTCTTCTCATCTTGTTCCGAGCTCCATGTGACTTCGCGATCACCGTCAAAACCGTCGTCATTTTGCAGAGCCTCGTTAAAAATGTGTTTAAACCATCTCTCAACGTCATTGATTATATCACTGCATCTTTTTTTGAAATTCATAACATTTTCAAACAGAGGAATCAGAGTTTGTCTCACCTCATCAGAACTGGGTGTTGGTTCTCCCCCCGCTGTTTCATTTGCTCCTGTATCTCTTCCCATTTCTAAATTCTGGAACTGTGTTTCGAACTGCTTCCATTTCTTCAGCAAGTCTGTTATTGACGTAAACTCTGCTTCGTATTTCTCTATTCTGGACACCACCGATTCTGGTCTATCTGAAACAAAACAATCAAGAATTGGACGCTTCTGAAGTAGGCAATCTGACTATAAAACACTCGCCCCAACCTGAAGAATAGCTACCTTCCATTTTAGCCGGGCGACCACACTTTTTCCTGTTTGATAGGACTATATAACCCCAAAATGCAAACTACGAAAAAAAGTATATGAAATAACTACCAAATAAAAAGTATATGATACGTATACGAAATAACTACTAAAAAATTGTCTTTTACTCATTATTAATTGTTCTGTTAAAAGATTTTGAACTGTTTCATTTCCCGGATTCTTTTTTTGTGTGTATTTGTTTTATTCGTTTTATTTGTACTTCAAAAAACACGCCCTCATCCAACTTCAAGCGTTAATAATCGATTATATAACGATTGTAGTGCCTGTCTAAAATTGAGAAACAATCGACTTTAATCAATTAAAAATCGATTATAATTTTTTTTTAATCGAATTATATTTTATTAAAATACATTCTAATCCATTATAAAAGATTATTTGTTCGTATACTTTTCGATACATTTTTCATCAATTCTTAAATTAGAATCCATTATTTTTGTTCAAAATTCTAATTCATTAGTTTTGCACAAAAAACCATTGTAATCGATTATAGTTGAATATAATCCATCTTTTTGTTCATTTTGTCTTCTAAGTTGCATCTAACTTGCTTATATTTTATACTTTTTGTGTACGTTGATTCCTTTGAACAATGAGAAAAATAATTTTAAAATTTTCCAATCAATTCAAATTTATACGGTATTTTTCATTTCTCCCTAATTAGAATTGTTTTGTGATGCATATTTTAAGCTTTTTTAACCATCAAAACATCAGCAAAGTGATTTAGTTTCATGATTGATTCGGAAGTTTTATTTTTCATCTACCGCGGGAATCTTTCCACTAGTATGAAATGATCTCTATGAAACTTTTGTTTCGAGGTATAACTTTGTGTTCAGATCAACCAAAATATTCAAAAGATCTGTCTTTTAGTGATTTTCTCATTGACACAAAAATAATAACCCAACAGAAATAATTCAAATATATAATCTTGAAGTGGCAAAATAGGAGATTTTAACCAATTATAATCGATTATAATTGATTTTAAGGGTTTTTTGTAAGAACTAAAATCAATTATAATAGATTATAAGAGATTATAACCTCTTGGAAAAAATCACGATTATAATCAATTATAAATCTTTTGAACACCTAATTTGGGTAATAATAATCAATTATATTTGGCAAAATTTCATCATAATAATGCGTTATAATCGATTAATACGCCTTAACTCGGTGGTCTAATTGTTAAAACGAACAATAACTAATCATACTTTTTGGCAAAAAATTTTTTCAATGAGAGCGTGTTATCCGATAAAAGCTAAAAATTTGAGCCAATCATATTTTCAAAAACACTCCCGGGTTGTCCAAAACATCTAATAATTTAACTTTCAATAGAGAAAAACTTTTTATCCAACAAAAGTTACCAGTTCATAAGCACAAAAACTGTTATTGAACATGTATGATATTTGTTTTCTGCGCATAATAACTGTATGACATTCATTTTTCCTTTTGGAAAACCGAAAATGTTTTGCGTTCCATATTGAAGTACTAATTTTGTTCAAAAATTCAGCAACCAATTGTTTGTCATGCGCACCAACAAACTTGAAAATGAGGTCATATTATATAGATTTTTTTTACAGATAATATGCGGCAGAAAAATTCAATAAAATGGCAGCCCGTTTTGTTACAAAAATTGTTTTAGAATGAACTCAAACACCTTTTATAATTGGTTTAACAAAAGAAAACAATTTGCTGCCCTAATTCGATTTAAATGGATACAAGCGAATTTTCGCGATATTCTAACACCCATCGAGCCTCAAGTAAACTATGTAGCTGATATTTTTTATCAGAAATTGTGCTAATTTGGAACTCAAAAGAAATTTCAATCAGAGCTACAGAGATCTACAGTCACTCCAGGAGAGTTTTTATTACAAAGTTTTGATTTCAAGTGAATACGCTTAAAGTTTTGCAAATATAAAAAAAAACAGTATTTGATTAAAACAGATAAACTTCAAACGTTTTCACTACCATGAGCATTGTCAGATTTTGTACAGAAAAATAATCTACATTACCATAAAACACCAATTTACAAATGTTTTTTTTTACAAAACTTCATACAAATTTTGCTTCTAAACCATCATATTAAAAAAAGCCATAATTGACCTTCATATTTAATTTATTTGTTTAAAATTAGTTTCACCGTCAAAAACAATTGAAATATTTTAAATTAAATTGCTTTTCATATTTTCGGTTTAGACAAGTGGGTTTTTGAAAACTTTTGAGACTAAACTTTTAGTATCAACTCCCTGCCTGATTGCATCGCGCCTGTGTAAGCCCGTGGCTTCTCTTTCATATTATGTATTACATCTAGTGTTAACAGTTTAGTTTCATTGTTCGTCCTGTCTGTACTTTCTCCACTAATAACTGCGCTTTCTCCCTCAAGTCTGCATTGCTCAAGGAGTGAGTTTGCTTTCTTATGTTCATCAATTCTAGTGGTCAAATGCCGTTTGGTGTTCGACATAAAAGGAAGCAAGATAGCTAATAAACCACTCTTGACTAGTGGTCATTACAAACCGCTTAATTTTATTGATGGTGAAAATAATTGTAGTTTCCTTGTGCTTAAAAATACTTGATATTTCGTCAAACTTCGAAGCGTACTTGCAATATATTGACTCTTGTTGCCTCTTTATCGATCTATCAGCATTAAGGTCTTCATATCGTTTTGTAATTGAGATGAATAAACACTCTCAGTATCCGGGGCGAAGACGTCTGCTGCGTTATTTACAGATCATTTTTCAGGGCACCGATACGTCAGTAACTTCGCCAAATTAGTATCCAAAGCTTTATCAAACGGTTTCTAGGTAGATGTACACTTAATAAAATTAAGTAGGGTGCACTGGTTAACATTGGGCTTCTACTAAGTTGGTTGTAGTTATCGAATGCAGAATACCCTCTTTTCTTGCAACGAGTTTATGTTCAAAGCCAGCAACGGCAGTTTCCTGTCTGGATTATTTTTCTGCAGGGTTAACTCATGATTTCGTTGAAATGAGTTGCCGATATGGAGAGCAAAAGAGTGCTCATTTTCGACTGTACTGACAATGTAACCCATATACCTGACGAACAACTTAACCAGCGGAGTATCCTTGTCACGGCTCTTAGCACTCCCAGACAATCTCCGATTTTGAAGCCTACAAGTCATCGGACTTTTTCCAGTTTTGCGATGGTACGAGTAATTTCTCGCATTCAACCCCTCTCGACCTTTTTGTTTCTTTCCTGCAGTAACCCTTACACAATCCTTTTGGACCCCACTAGCAGAAATTCCGCCCTCACCATTTTTTCGTAATTGAAAGCAAACTCTTAACTTTTCAGCCGAAGATTTGTGAGAATTATTGCGAGGGTAGCGCCCATTGCTAGATCATCAAATTGCACCTATCACGAATCTTTCCAGTTGAAAAATCCTTGCTGACCGTAGAACTCGGAAGCTTTTTCCTTGGGAAGTTTTGAAATTTAGAAGAAGACTCCCGGCTGTACAGCTGCTGTAGAACAATTCTCTATTGCTTTGTTCAGGGCAACGTTGGTGTATAAAAATTTTCTATCGAGTTATTTTGTAGTTTTATCCGGATCTAGAGTCCTTTTTCAATAGTTTCTCTGGAATCTTAAGAGTTCTTTGTTATATTGGCTCCATCAATATTTTCAAAAATTTTGCCATCAATTTTTCGTGACTTTCATGCTAGCTCTCCAACAGTGATAGAACTGATCTTAATAGGCTTGGATATCCTAGCTTTATGTACTCTAGCGAAACTGTGGGGGGGCGAGGTTGCTCACGTACTGACCTCATCTTAGAAGACAAAATTTTCTTATCTCAATTCTTTGGCAAGTAATTTTTTGCTTCAAAAGCTTCAGCGCTGATTGCATTTTTTTCTTCAAAACTTGACTAGAATCCAACAAAAGTCCAGTCTTTGTGGAAGCTTGTCCCTCGTGGAGCAAAAATTAAACTCTCTACCAAAAAATCAAAGCCAGTAACTCATTATCTTTGCGTTAGTTTCTCGTTGATTCAACCCCGTTATCTCTCGAGGTATGCTTTAATTTTTCTGCATACGCTTTTGCCGCGGCCTCTTTTTCACATGAAATTTCATCACATTTTTTGATTTTTCAAAAAGCAAAGAAACTTTTGATATCAGTGCGTTCATAAAACTTTTCTCTAATTGAATGCTTCAGAACCCTTGACAGCAATTCAGGCATCCATATCGGCAGTCAATTTTATCAAGCATCCTAACTGATGAATCTTTCCTCGCACCAAGGAGTTTATCTTGTTTTGTCTCTCGGACAATTTTTTATTTTTCTATCGTTTCATGATGTTGTCTGCAAGCATGCACGTTACTTTTTTTCACGTTATGTTTTTCTTTTCGTTTCCCTAAATTATGAAAGTCTCAAGGTTTTTTGATTAGGTGTTTTGATGAACTGTGAGTGTAGTAACTTTGGTTAACGTGGCTTTGGCTTTAGAGAAAGACTATCCGAATCAATGTAAGTTGAGTTTGATAGATCTTTCAATGTTTCTAAAATTGAAAAAAAAATGCACAAAAACAAAAAATGCTGGTCCAGAATCGAATATAAAAAGACTTGAAGGAATCAATTGAAAACTTATTGACAAACTGGATGAAAATTATTGCATTTATCTGAACTTTAAATGTTTCAGCATGCTAACTCTGTCTTCCATGCTGAGAAGTCCTTGCTTTTTTCCAAAATAGATTTTTGGATTGGTTTGATAGGAGTTTATGAACCTCAACAATAGAAATAAAAGTAAAATTGAAAGAAATGATGCTTGAAAGTAAATGTCGCTTGGCAGTTATATGTGGTTTGGGTGCAGCTTCCACCCGCCGACTAGGTCGACCAATTTTTTTTGGTCTCAGCAGAAGTAGCGAAAGCTACGTTAACCAAG